TCATGTCCTTAGAGAATCTGGCCCAAATTAAGATCCAAGTTAGGCCCTGAGAAAACAGACTTCAGTTAAATATCCTCTGCAATGCCACACTTTGGTAGAAGGGAAGCTCACTATAACGATGTCTTGCCATTGTTGTTCAGAAACTAGTGTCTTGCTATTCTTGTTCAGCAAGTGCTATTCTTGCTCAGCAAGTACTATCTTGCTCTGAAAGGAAAAAAAATTTCCTGCTGTAATTTGATATAGCTGTAGTCGCTGAAGGTCAGAGGAAATATTTTGGTAGGCACACTTGGTTTTACTTGGGAAAGAACACCTAATTGAACCTTGTGACAAAATCATTAGATAAACCGGATTCTGCATCTGGTCTTCGAACAATTGTATTTTCTTTAAATTCCCCTCTTTCCCTGAAACTGGGACACTTACAGAATGGGAAGTTAGTTTCATAAACAGTAAGGCATTGTCACCTCTTTCCATCCCTTTCCAAGAGATGTCAAAGTCAGCTCAAATCTGTTTCTGTTGGGGGCTGGAGGGAAAACTAGTATTTAACGACCTTTCCTGTTTGTTTTCCTCATGATTGTATATCTAGTGATTTAAAGCGTTCTCATGTGGGCATTTGTCACCTGTTCCATACAGTGACCAATAATTAGAGCAAAACAACACATGGAATGGCCAAGTGCAAATTAACAGCTGTCAAACTGACTTCCATTTGGAAGGAATATGACCTGAAGCAATTGGCCACGTACGTTTATATCCCCAGGGTAAAACAAGCTTGCAGTTGTCATAAGTGGCTGCTGGAGAGAATCCCTAAGAATATGTAATACAGTAGATGGTGGATCATTCTCCTCAATGCTAGAAATGAGACAGATGAAACTGCTGTTATTTGAGCAATGCTCATTCTAAAGAAAAACATGTTCAGCACCTTTAAAATTGAAATTGCCAAAATGTATTGAATATGCTAGACAACAGAAAGAGCGAGTCATTTTTATACACTGTCCAAAATATTGGTGCTTGAAGACTAAATCAGTTGTGGATTTTCAATGACTGGCCACTGCAGAATGAAAGATGCCTGTCTGGGTGTCTGTGGATGAGATATGCCTATTCACATAGAGATTGAAGATTTTGGTAAATGGAACTGCTATTAAGAAAAGCAATGGGTGATTTTACTGTCCACACAAATATGAAAATGGAAGACTCCAAACAGGAGAGATATACAATAATAACAAGACCAAAAAATAGGGTCAGAGGAGAAAAGCAGGAGAGACTGTGGAGTCACTAGAAAAAATGAGAGAAAGGAAGAGACTGGATTTCTTTCTGTAGGAGATTTCTGTTTTATTGTAGGGACTCATCAGTGTCAGAGGCAGCAAACTGTTCTAGGCAAGAAGAAAAAAAAATGGCTGATTCTGAGGAAAAGCTGTTGTTCCTAGAGCTCTGAAAGGGTGCTGCAGACTGGTAGGGGAACAGAGGTGGGGGAAAATAAATGTATGTCCATCTGCTAATGGGTGTAAATGTGCACAGCTCTTTTAATAAGCACCCAAAAATAAAGAATGGTTGTGTTAGAAAACCTTGTACAAAATCTCTTTGCACTTCTTAGATGCTGTGCTTGTCTTGTTCCTGGAGAGACAGACTGATCCTTCTTTGGTTTTGCTTGTAGACAGTGCTGACACTGAAAGAGAACAAAAAGCATCTATAGAAAGTAACGTGGATGGTACCACGTCTGGGGAAAACTAAGCCAGCATCAAATTCTGTGGTGTATGTGGAGCCTTTCTTTAGGAAGGCTGCACTAGGAACTGGGCAATCTGTCCCAGGGACCTCATCAGAGTGTACATATGCACAGTCTTGGAGACTTTTGCAAAGAGAAATGCCTGTTGTGCTTGAGGGACTGACTTCTCTGAATGACTGAAAGAGGTAAATGTGTGTAGCAGGGCTAAGAGATGACTAGAGTACAATAAAAAGTTAATTCTATCTGTAGGATAAGCAGTAAGAAAAATAGAAATATTTAAGGTTACAGAAAGAAGACTATTTAGGTAAAAGTACCATCCAGATGGACCATGAGAGAACCACTCTAGTGATGAGATACACTGTGGATTGTGAGTGGTGTGAAAACAAAGCAGCAGAGTCTGGGCCTTTGGCATTTCAGCTGTCAATCACCTGAGCACCACTGATCTGGTAGCTGACTTGGACTCCAAGCAGATCACTGTCAGGATGAGGACATCAGCTTCCTATGGAAGACTGCCCAAGTTCAGCTCTTTTTTAAGGAAGGTTACCTTTCTTTTGTACTCCAGAGGTAAGGAAATATTTTGTTACCTTATAGAATATCCATGATGATAAATTATTACTGAAAATCCTAGGTACCATTAAACACTTGCTTTGAAGGCAGTTCCTAGCTGTTATTGCTTTAAATCTGAGACAGGAACAAACGGTTTATGAGATTTACATACAAAGCACATTCAACGCCAAATTTCATATAGCCTTTGTTGATCCTCCCATTAGCAGAATGTTGTCGCTTTGGCTGCATGTATAAGAATGGAGGAGTTCTGAAAACCTAAAGAACTGATTTGACATCCTGTGTATTGAGTTCCAGATGACGATATTTTTTGTGCCTATACAGTTCTTGAAATCCAAAGAAAAAAGCCAAAGTCCTGTGTGAGGTATTACGTACACACGCCCAGAAATGCAATTCCTGGGTAGCAGTGGGTGGGTAGCAGCTGCTTGGCAGACCAAGTAGGTTTGCCTGTGCAAGAAGAAGGGACGACAGAGGGAGCTGTAATAAGTACAACAGGTTTGAGAATACAGGTTAAGGTCTGGCAATGTGGGAGGACGTATGCTGCAGCCTGTGCACTGCACTGGCAAACAGCCTAAGGGCAAAATATCATGTAAGGACACAGCAAATGTTAAGGGCAAAGTGCAGTTTTGAGATACAGTACATGCTCACTGTAAATGGCACTGCTGAGGTCTAATGCTTGTATGACTTTACAAAGAATGTCGGAAGTCCATGATTATAAATATCAACAACTCCATGGACAATTAGGTCACATATGGGGAGATGCAGGCCTTGAAATAGCTTTCTACCTGAAGGGAAAAACTATCTGCCTATTATGTCTGGTGACAGTTTTTCCAGACTTTTGTTTTTTTTATTGCTCCTGGTGGGGGGCAGCTCTGCCAGTGTTGAGCTTGTGGAAGTGAGTGCCTCTGCTCCACAGTACTTGCCTGCATTTGGAAACTTCCACCCTGATGTTGCTACAGCACGGCTGATATCCATCTTTCCAGTTCAACCTGTGAGGACTGTCCCTGCTAAGCAGCCTGGTTACAGCACACACAAGAACACATTTCCCTCAACGTGCAAATTCAATTTGGAATTGCTGGAGATTGATATTGCTGTCCAACACTATAAACTCTAATTGTGTGGGAGAAAAAATTTGTTTTTCTGACCACTCATCTCTGACAGACTCATTATTTTGTCATAAAGCAATTGAAATGATATTTTTGGCAGTTACATAAGGCGCAAGAAGCACTCTGGCGTGCTGAAGGAGCAGTGCTGTTGTAGTGGGAGCCCTGGGTGTGCTGTGTTCCTCACAGACTCTATTTACATACAGACAACTGACATTAAAATGCTGTAAATATCACCAAGGTAATTGCTAATAGCGTGCTGACGCTCGCATGGGAGTGCCAACCAACAGACTGGGGGGCACGTGAGGGGATCGTTGATGTTGAAGAGATCATTCATGAGAAAGAAAGACAAGAGAAGCTCTTTGATACATTTTTAACGACTAGCCATATGTTCCTCACTTAGAAACATCTTTGAATCATTCTAGGTCATTGCCAAAGTTTGGAAAATCAACTTAAAACCAACTTGGAAGACTTCTGCCCAGACCCTTTGCTTTTACATGCCACGAGTTGGCTCTCTGCTCCCAGGTAAACAAAGCCTGAACTTGCAGAGGAGTTGGTATGTTTGCTCTTCACGTTCCTGCCCACATATTGTAAAATACCATTTTACTGCACAGTTTTAATTAGGCATTTTAAAACACTCAGGAATGTTAGGAGCCTTAGTCAGCTTCTCGGTGCTAGCAACTACTTCCAGCACCTTGTTACAGTGGTCCTAAAGGACTCGGCCATGCTTTTCATGACATCAAATGTGTTAAGGCTGTCATCTACATTATGCCTCTCAAGCTTACTAATGACCTTAAGGCAGCTTCACCAGTGAGAGTTCTAATATGATCTAGACAAAGATGAAAATTCCACATTACAAATAGATTTGAAGTAGAGAAGAGATGTAGGTTGAGAAAGTGAAAGTCAAAATATAAACACCCTTACAATATACCATGAAATCTTTTGGGTAAAACCAGCTTTGCATTATTTTTCAGATTTTAAATTTTTGACTCTTATGAGGCAAATTCAGCATAACTTGAGAAACTGTATGTACAGGTAAATTACAAAACTTTTGCACCATTGAGTGTGCAAGGTAAACAACATGAAAATACTTAGATAAGTCTGATTTTCCTTTAATTTTTTCTAACAACTGGAACATGTTTTCATTGAGGCTCACATTTGCTGAATATTATTATTCATTATATCGTAAGATTTTTCCATGTCATGTCAAAAAAACCCACAAAGTGTGCTGGTCCTTATCCTAATTTCCAAAGCTTAATAGATTTTGTGGGGATGAAAACAAGTATAAAGGATACTGTCGTGAAGAAATAAAATGGCTGCTGGCCAATTTATTTCTGCAAGGATGCAACAGACAGTGAGAACACGCTTACATAAAAGTGATAACAAGACAATTACTGCAATCTCTGCTACCAGTGCTCACTGTAGGGACTACCCATCTGAAGAAGTTCTGAGCTAAAAGGGTAAAAAAAAACAAACCTAAGGAGGGTTGACAATCAGAAAATGGCATGGGTTGCGGCTGCAAGTAGCACTGCTGAACAAATGTTCATGTGAAGCAGAAAAGTAAATGCTGGTTTCTATTCTCTTTTTTTTTGATTCATATGAATATCTCAGGTCCACGCTGCTGTAAGGAAGCAAACTCCAAAGAAGGCACTACATATTTTTCTGGAATTTAGAAACAAGATCCCTCTGGTCTGCTGGTAAAATGTAGACACTGTAGTGAGAGTAATGAAATGTGAGTCCTCTTTTTCACTTGTTTATTTCTGGAAATGCCTTCTGCTGGTCACCAGTCTTTTTCCCTGTCCTTTTCCCTGAATTTATCTAATACATCATAATCTCCCACTGAAAAAAAAGTCCTTTGTGGAATAGGGCTAAATCAATAATAAAGAATAAACAAATTCAGTAATAACAAATATAACTTTGTATAGGTAGATATATTATTCTTTCATTTGCAAAGCAAGGACTAATGTTGGATCAGGTTTTTAAGCTTCTTAAATCTGTAAGTAGCTTTGTGGCTAGAAAAGAAGTTTAACCTGCGCTCAGTAATCCTGCTGCACCTTAGTACCTTAGAATCCAGAGATTTACAGAAGCCTCTTCAACTTTATTCTTCACTGTTTCGTTTTCACTGCTAAATTCGGGAGGAAATTGAATTAGACTCCCACAGGCAGTATGGAAAATTGGGGAAAATAGCTTCTTATTCTCCCTCAGCTGAATATAATATATCTAGTGGGGAACAGCAAAGCCTAGGCACAGAACATGTTTGCTTTGCTTTCTCAGTGGCCTACTTCCAAGCAGTTCGGAGAGCTTGAAATTAAAAAAAAAAAGACAACAACAAAATCCAAAAGGGCAGCATAATTCCCTTTCCCGCAGTCCCAAGGCTCACAGAAAGCATTCAGGGCATAGTATTGCCCATTGTTTGCACTAAGCCAGCCCAACATTAAGAGAATGCAAGTGCTAAATTTAATATAAGATTTATTGTGTTCATAAGCTAGTAAACATTTCTATATACTATCAAGTAAATCCTGGCCAATACAAGTAAGAACTATCAGATCACTACTGACCAATTTATATCTCAACCTGTATTTGATTAGTACATTGTCTGATAGATGCACACTGTCTTCTTTCTGAAGGGAAACATTAGTGGGACAGGTCCTTCTGCCTTGCTGCTCCTTTTCTCCTGCCACTTTCACACAGAGGGCCACAAGCTACCATACCTTGCCAAATAAACTGTAAATGTTTCTGAAATGCAGTAGTTTACCAGATGACATCCTTCCAGACAAACAGAGGCAACTGAAAATGTTTACAGGCTACATCAACAGCACTCATCACAAACACAGAAAGGAGAAGGCAGTAATACTGAGTAAATACTGAGGAGCAAACTCCTCAGTATTTAAGCATGTGAAACTGTTCTGATTTTGTGGCTAGATAAAAAATGTTACAGATCAAGAGATATGAAAATAATCACTTTCTTCAGTCTCTTAGATCCAAAGTCTAAAAATAATCCACTGTTGCTTATGTCTAGTAGAATAGAACAGCTAATTCTGAGTTATTTCAGTTTACCACATAAAAAAATACTCATCCTTAATATTAAATACTTGGATAAACCTAGCCAAGTGGAATGGGCACATGCTTTTTCTAACTTTGATTTCATATTCTCTAAGTGTTAAAGCAGAAATAAATGTCTGAACATATACCCGCTGTTAGCTGCTGAAGAGAACCAACTTCCATTCCCTTCCTAAACATTCATTTTTGCTTTTTTTTTCTTCAGAGATATTAGTTTTCATTGAAATGTGTCAATAAAGAGAGTGGCTATAAAATCTGCTAGGGTTTGCCAGCAGCATATTCTGCAAATAATTTCACTCGTGAACACAATTTGCCAGATTCTTAGCTGATGTAAATCCATCTGGCTCCTGTAGATTCAATGAATTTATGTTAGTTCGCACTGCCTGAAATGAGGCCTAATTTGTTTCCAGCTTTCATTCGTATTATCCTAGGCTTGGTGGCTGTATTTTTAGATAATGGCAGATAATCTTTTTATAATTTTCACTGGCAGGTCCAAGATCTTGAATAAGCCTGGGATGGAAACTGGGAGTTAGTGGAAGATAAGGAGCCCAGGTGTGATGTGCTTAGAGACAGGACTGCTGAGAAGGTAGGATGCTTTACATTGTTTCTATGCATCTATTTTGGTCTAATTTTTAACTTCATAAATAGGAAGCTTTTCTTATCTACATGAAGGATGCTGAATGGGAACAATGGCAGTCATGTCTCTCTCAGAGTGGAAGCAAAATCTCTTGCTAAGATGAAGACCAATAACGACAGTTTCTTCCAGTGCTACCAACTGATCATTTAACACTAGTGGTTGTTTGGTAGGTTCCCAGACTACCAAAGAAGAATTGAGATGTACTTAGAGTTTATATCCTTTGCTTTTTCTCAAAAATTAGTTTTTCTTTTTCCTTCTCTCTCACTTGAGATTTCCTTCTTTCTCAATGGAATCTCTTTAGTCTCACCCACTAAGTTGCTTTATTTCACACTACAATCAATGTCTTGATACATGGAAGGGATGAGATGGCAGAGGGGGAAGCACGTGTTGCAGAGGTACTACACAGCTAAGGTGTTCTGAGTTGTCATGATGTATCTCCTGTTTTCATTGGTTTGCTCCAACTATCAAGAAAAACTAGGAGACACTAAAAACCTGAATAACCTCACTTCCCATACTGCTGTGTATCAGAGAGACAAAGGCTACTGGGACAGGAATGCACTCTCTCTCCACCAGCTGGAATAACAAAGTCTGCTTGGCAGTACCCTGCCATAATCCATCTGATAGTGCAAAGAAGTTAAGAAGCACAGCATCTGAGATTTGACAACTGCTCATTGCTATCAGGATATTAAGGAAGAAAAGATTTTATTATTTTAAATTTCTTGCTGCTGTCCAATATCCTGCTTAGCCAGCCTTAGTTTGCCATCCATTATTAGGCAGTAAGGCATTATCAACAAGTCTATAGACACAAACAGATACCCAAAACACACTTTCTGTTTTAATTGCTATAATACCACCTGGCAGAATTTAACCACTTTATCACAACAAGTGTAAAAGTCTGTACCACAACCTGGTAGATATTTAAGAATGTGGCACACAAACCTCAAATAAATGACAGATCAATATATCATTGCAAAGTTTTATAGCTTACAAATTTAAAAACAGAAATTAAGAAGTCTTTAGGAGTCACTGTTAGTTTTCTTTTCTCCCGATACAAATCTGAACATTAGACTGGAAATTCCCAGCATTTTGCTAATGTGCATCACCACTTTTAAGTTTATTGAGAAACCAATTTTCCTGGGTTTAATTTAATTAATAAATACCAGTCTTACATCTGCTCAGCAGCAATCCCAAGAAAGCTGCTCTAAGATGCTAGTGATTACACCAAACTTCCTGTCTTTATTTGTAAGTAGTATTTCACAGCATCAGCTGCCAGCTGGTATCCTGAATTCTTTTTCTCAGCACAACACTGAAAAGGAACAATTTGTTGTGTGGGAGGTCTAGAATTGTGGTCATTAAATTACCATCCAAGCGGACATGCCTACAATACCATTCAAAAATGTTGTTTAACTGTCTGCAGTGGGGGAAATTTTATTCTCTCACGCAGCAATACCCTAAAGTGAGCTGTTACAAATTTGTGTCCACAATCGATGTTGGATGGACCTGACTTAAGCAGAAATACCTTTACTTTAAGCTTAGAGAATGACTCAGGGTGTAGCACCTATTGTGTCACAGTAGGGAATAAAGTATTTTCATGAGACATTGGCAGGAGAGCAGCATTTCTGCTACATGAGAAACAAGCAAGGTTAATTTCATACTGATTTTGGTAACTATAATAGAGAAAAGCAGCATAAAAATATCCATGGTGCGCGCAGAATTCAACACCAGGGAAACCAGTTCTGTGAAGCAGTACATCTGCTGCTCTTTTCAAAAGATTTTAAAGCATTTCTGTTTAAGAGACCTCCCATGGACTCATTTAAAAGCTCAAATGTGCCCCTAGTAGTCACTGCTGCAGAGACGGTATATATGGAATAGTGGCGTATGGACTGTAACTGGTTGCCTCCGAGGGAGAGACAATATGCCTTGTGCTACTCTGAGGAATACTCCTGAGAGGAGCAGTGGGTGTAAGCCCTGGCTCAGGGCAGAGACACCCTGCTGTCCTCAACGGGTGTCCTGCACAAGGACTGGCCCCTGCAGCAGCTGGTAGGGCGGGATCCTGCATGTGGGCAGGGAAGAGGTGCAGAATAGCCCACCTCACATACACTGATTTTTGGACACCAGGCATCACTTGACAAAGCGAGATCTCTGATAGCTTTAATGCAATGAGTAGCAAGGTCCTGTTCCTACTGCAGTCAGTAACAGGAAAGGTTTTTCTCTGGGTGCTGATTATCAGGATTCAGTGAGGAACCTTCTCCCTTGCTCATTCTCTGATAGGCATCTGCTGTGACTAGCTCTGCTTTTAACCCCTCTTGTTCTGTTTAAGTCTGCAGGTGAGGGGATTTTACAAATCAAACAAAGCTCTGATGAGACTTCCACCTCCTTTCCAAAAAAACACCAAGACCATGGAAAAATTGTTTCCAAGAAGAAGGTGGGTTGTAGTTGAGAGAAAAGCAAACACAAAGCAGAATAATTTACAGAGGTTGTTTAACCCTTTCAGAGCTGCTGGTTCAAGCCAACTCATGGCAGCTCCTGTGATCCCCCCACTGGGCAGGCTCCTGCAGCGACAGGATTCATGCAGGACTTGCAAGGAAATGGAGCTGGAGCAAGGGATAGGAGCCAGCAGGAAAGATTTGGGCAGTTGATCAGGAGGTTGCACTTCTGTTTAAAAACAGCCAGAAAGGAGTCAGACTTTTCTCCAAAGATAAAAGGTCTATTGAAAATATCCTTGGTTTTTTTGCTACATATGTTGGCTGCCTTTTGCTTCAGGTGTACCACCAATACACACAACCAGCAATAAAGCACACATAGAGAACAAAGGCTGAGTTCTCATTCCAGTAAGTTCTGTTAATAAATAGCTACATACAACCTAACAGTCCCTGAAAAGCCCAGGATTCAAGTGCTTTAAATAGAAAAAGTCAGATTTCCTTTCTTTTATCTGTCTTTTTCTATAGGAGATATATTGGGGAAAGGTAAAGAAATATTTATAAAAGCACTCTTTTATTTTCAATATCACCATGAGATGTCTAGGCACTAACTGGACATTTAGAAAAACCAGGGTAAGTGAGGGCATAAGCAGAAATGTAATTCAGGTTGTCTTTTGAGACTCCTGAGAATCCAGATGTGAAAACTTTTCGCATATGATTTAATGGCCTCTTCACGGATATTTTTCCATTACAAATATGTAAATTATCATTAAATTATGAGGACACAGCCTAGCCAAAAACTAATGCTTGATTCCGATAAACAGCTTAATATTCATCTTTTCAGACTTATACCTAGCTCCTCATCTGCACAGAAGCCATTGCCCAAGATTTATCATTGCAACCATTCTGAAAGGCACCTTTTCACACAGGTAAACTGTGTCCTCCTGTTCCCCTCCAGTGGTTTGCTGTTCTGCTGGTTATAGCTGATATTACTCCTTGGTGTTCCCGACTTTAAGGCCTTGGAATCGCCCCTCTCCCTCTGCAGTGCTGCTATGGTTGCCAGGAAGGAAGGAGCGCAAGGGCAGCTGCCTCATCCCACTGCGCTCTGCCGGGTCCTGCCGCTGCCTCCACTCGATGCCGCTCACACGGGCGAAGGAGAAGAACGTGCTTACTGCGAGGGCAGGTTAATTGATCCCTTTTTGAAAAATCATGTTGCTGAACTTGAACTTTAAGGATAATTATAAGGCATAAAGCAGCTCTGTTCTTTTCTGGAGCGTGTTCCGAGGTATTCATGATTCAACTATAAAAGCCGAGGGTGCATAATGAACTGTTCAGAGCAACTAATGCTGACTAAATATTTCAAAAGTGGTTTTGTTCTGGTGTTTTCTTGTGTTTCATTAGGGTTGATTTTCAAAAAGCTTAAGCCTCACAGCTCCTAAAATAATTAGGAATTGGTAGTTGCTTATTAGCAAAGCAGACACTCCCAATCCACTTTAAAATATATACAACTTTTATTGTCCCTTTTTTATTTCTTTTTCTTTTCTTTTAGTTTTTCATCTCAATTGGAGGTCATAACTTAAAAGAGAAAAGTTAAAAAACCAAACAACATTTCTCATTGTTAATCATGCTAGCCTCAATTTTTTAACTTTCAAAATCCATACACTATAAGCTCCTTGTCCCAGAATAATTCCCTCTGGAATTATTATGATAAGAATTATTTGCAGTAGTGCCATGTAAATAATTGATTTTTCAGTTCACTGACTGAACTGAAAAAAACTGGGGGAAAAAAATAATTTGTGTCAAATGAAATGCGTTGTTTTATTTACAGATTTTAAATCCCATTTTAGAAATTATTTTCAAAATTTTTTTTTTAAGCAAAAATATTTCCAAAGGAAAAATTGTGCCTTTTTTTGAGTTTTCAAAAAAGTTAGTCAAAGCTACTTATTAATGCGAGTTGAATTCTGATACTTTTAGCCATCCCAGACAGAATTTTCTTCTGTGAATAATTCATACTTCAAAAATACTAATCCTTTCTCCTGCTGAAGAAAACCAGATGACAAGCGAGCTGTGGAAGCATGCCAAAAGCACTTAACATCCTCTAGCTAACTTAGATACTGAAAAAGAGCTGTTGGGTCACTTTACCTCTAGCCTTGTTGGTATAACAACTGGCACAATGAAATTATTTGTTGTGAGTAATTTTAAACAGTTCAGGAAATGAAGTTCTAACTGTATCTTTTCTTTTTAATTTGGGAAAACAATTCTTCTTTCATCTAATATATTTCAGTTGCTGACTTGGTGTAGAGAAAGATTACTTTCTTTTTCAAAAATACCACATGACTACTGTTTAATTATAGACACTACTTATTGTTATCTTGAAGCCACTAAACTGGTTAGATTTGCAAATGTTTTACTATTTCATATTAAAGCCAGTGGAATTAAACAAGATAGGAAAATTTTAAAGGCTTTTTAGTATTAGAATACTTGAGATAATCACAGAAGCACAGAATATTCTGAGCTGGAAAGGGCCCACAAGGACCATAGATGGTCTGTGAGTATGATTCCTAATGGATGACTTGGTCTTCTTGGAGCTGGGTGGTCAGAGCTAGGCAGTCCTATTCATTGATCAGAAGCAGCTGGAAAGGAGCTCTTGAACCTCAAATGGTGAAAGGAGACCTGGCTTCTGGCATTGGCCTGGGAGCAGCAAGCAGGTGACATGTACAGGCCTGCCTATCGTGGTACTACCAACACTGGTTTTCCCCCAGGACCAAAGTAGGTCTGCCACTGGGGTTAATACTTGCCCTAACCCCAAACTCACATGACATGGGACAAGAGGCTTTGTGTACGTCTGTGAAATGGGGTTGATGACACTGCTTTGATAAGTTTAGGTGGCAAAGGGCTGGTAGTTTTAAAGCAAAGTCTTAAAATTCTGACCTAATGTCAGATGCAAATAAAATAATGATTGTTTTTGGCCTTCAAGTGCACTGAAACATTTATTATTCATGTTTGTTTTTAACAAATACTGGGTAAATCAAACAATGTTCACACAGAAGTTGCACTGTCCACTGAGAAGCTGCGAACATGTTTTTGTTGTCTACAAAAACAGACATGCTGGGAGGTCGAATTTGATCCAGTGACTATTATTCCATGTACCAGAAGAACTAAACAACTTCATTTATATTTTAAATGTTTCAAATCAATACTTCCCTTCATATTGTGTGACCCCCGCCAGGAAACTCTTATAACTGAAAATTTAAGGAATAGATTGCAAGTTATGAATAATGTAAGGCTGTCATAGGGGAAAGCAAATTGTGAAATACTGCTGACAGAAACAATCAGTACATGTTTATACTGAAGAACAAACTTTAGCAATTCTGTCTTGCATAACACAGTTTTTAAAATCCCATACAAACTTTTCAGTTTTCCCTGAAATGTCAACCAGGCTTCCTCAGCATCAAACTCCACTGGAAAATATACAGGCTGTTTGTGTTCTCAAAGAATGAGCTAATCTGGAAGTAAAATGCTCATATATATATATATATTAATATAATATATATATAATAAATAGCTCTACGAAAAATAATGGAGAACTACCAGATGCAGGTAAAGAAAGAGCCTGGATTTGAAAAAAAAAGTCATTAATACCGGGATGTCTAGCAGCATCTATTTCTCAAGCAGCAGGCTATTACAAGGAACATATCTAGCAAGATGGGACAGGATCTGATTTGGGGCACAGACAGTCAGATGGTGAACAAGAGCTTCCTTGCATTAAAGCATTCTTTAGGGCATAAGGAGAGTGCTGTTCAAAACGAATTGGGTTTTATTTGCACACGGACAGAGAGTTGCCATCAACTGAAAATAAGAAGTATTTGTCCTGAAGACCTGATGAGTAGGAAGAGACAAGGTGCCCTGAGAGTGTCCTTATAAGAATGCTTGCATGACACAGAGCTTTATCTTTAATGAACTTGGGCATAATTATGAGAAACCTGAATTATAAATAAAAAATCAAGAAAAAAAACATAATGACCACTTTATTAGAAAATATTTTTGGAAGTAATAACTCTGGGGATGAAGGAGTTGGTGTTTGTGTCTGATGTGTTTTATAGCTGTGTTCTCTCTCTCGGACAGAGTTGCAGAGAAGAAGGATGGAGAAAGCTCCACTGGGATTTAGGATGGTGCCCATGGCAGTCATCACCTCCTGTCCCCACCATTATTGTTCATTGTTGTTCCTCATTTATTCTCATGCCTGCTCAGCATTTCCTTCTGTTGACCTACACAAGCCAGGAGGGGGGAGCATTACACAGGACATAGAGTTGCCCCCAGATCTTGTTAAAGCTGTTCTCTGCTTTCACACCAAGCAAAAAACCTCAGGAGAGGAAAAGGGCAGCACTTGTGGATTTTCTGCTATATACAGATTTATCATGATATATAGCAAATGGACTGAACCAAATGACTTAGTGGCCAATATAATCATATCACAAAGGTAACAAGCTTCTGGCACCTGTTCAAGCTGCTTCTAACAGAAGTTGAATGTAGCTTTCAGAATACAACATTTCTATTCCTTTTTTTTCCTATGCAAATCACTCCTGTGTTTTGTCTCTGTTTTACCCCTTTATGATATTGTCTGGGTTTTCAGATGCTGACCTACCTCTGAAGATAAAGAACTTGATAAAATAAGAGAAAAAAAAGTCTTAGTCTGTAACAGGATTCTGTTGAGATGCATGCACTGCAGACTGTGAATTCCAAGAGCAGTCAGGACAAAACAGTTGTTGCCTTCTCGGTCTTACTGGCCCTGGCTCCTGTGGCTGCAAGGCAGGACAAGTGCCCTGGGCTGTTGCTGGCAAATTTCTTGGGATGAAGTCTCCCCTACACCTCAGGGCAATTCTTTCTCTTTCTTGTTTGACTAATTTAGTTATAGCAGCTGAATTTTTAAACCTGGTTTCTTTTAAAATCTGCTAAATTTATGAGGATATGAAAAAGTACACATTTTATGTGTTAGGAGTTAGAAGGAAGCTCCTGTATACAGAGCACTGAGTCTGGACTTTGTGTTATATTAACTATGTTTGCATTGCAGCAAATATTTGCACAACTCTCCAAAAGGTCTCTCTTCTGTTACAACATACACTCAGCCAAATTTAAATTGCAGAACCTTTTTCTTTGGGAGTAGGCCTTTTTTGTGGTCTTAATATGGGGAAGACATTTTTCAAAAGCCCTAGTATAATAAAACACAATCAAAATTTAAGAAATCCCTAATTTTTTCCAAGAGTCAGCCCTAAACCACCTTTAGGTCATTTAATTTTGAATGCCAAATGCCTCTAAAAATCTAATGTGATGCTCTTTGGATGAAGCCTTTAGAGCATATATCTCTCCTCTCCACAATTCACAAGCAGGCTCCATGTCAGCTACACTCTACTTGTGCATTTGTTAGTCAAAACCTGGGTATGACTGTACAGTGAGGAAACCAATGAACTGTGTTAAAACTATATATTGCACCTGCTTGTGGAATCATTCTGGTGGTATGGCTGTCTTGCATCCCTCCTCTTTAAAGCATCTATATTTTATGAAGCATTAACAGACAAACAAACAAACACATAGACCACAAAATCCAAAGTCTGCATTAGTCTCCAAAAGTAGCCATTGGAAAGAAGAGATATTTCAGAATCTGATCTCTCAATATAGTCATTCAGTATCTGTAAAAAACAAAAGTGCAGATGTATATTTTAAGACATCAAGTCTAAAACATGAGATATTTGTACCTGTCAGAATGGAGGCTGTTGTGGTCATCTACCTGAAAGGATTACTACTGGAAGGAATCACCACGTTGATAGTTACTTCTGCAGTGACTAACTGATATATCTGATGAGAAGGTAAAATGATACAAACTGGT